AGAGAGAGAGAGAGAGAGAGAGAGAGAGAACACATGCGCAGTGACGTTAACAGTTTGAGGGACGCTGTGATCCCTGTGAAACAACCAATGACTGGGGAAACTCAATCTTGTTAAGTAAAATAAAACATATAGAATCGAAGGTGAACATATTCCGTGTAGATAGATCGTGGGCTATGCGAGTAAGACGTGATAACGAAGGAAACCATTTCATCAGAATAACTAAAAGCAATTATTATAGTTGTTATTGACGTACGATGCTCTACTACTTAGTTCCAGTACCAGATTCACTTCAAGTTATTTCAAATTAAAGACTTTGCTCTTGGTCCTTCGACAGGAATGACGTTGCAGGAAAAACAAGAAGTCCGAACCACACTCATGTTGTAACCGCAAACTTCTGCGTTTCAGACCATGAGAGGTTCCTAACCTTCGGCATCACAACGGCAAGTAAATCACAAGACACGTTTTACAAAAAACAACAACAACAAAACAATGGAACAATGTTTAAAAAATGTGAATGGACAACATAATATTAATTACCCTGTAAGTCCTGGCTGATGAAGGACAGTAGGCATAGTAGAAGCGTCCTATGTAAGTAGGGTACTGCTAATTGCTACTGCTCAGCGAACATACCCCATGGGACGACGTGCCACTGATACACTAAAAGAAAATACACACTTGAGAAAAAGGCATTGAAATGTCATTTGAAGGTATTGAATTTGCCTTCCCAAAACACTGCTCTTCCACTCAAAACAATCGTGCAAATAAATAATCACTCAACAGTACAATTCTGGGACTCAAATACTGAGCAATGGGATACATGTTTGTTACCCCCACCACAACCCACCTCTCCCCTCTCGATATCCTATGCATTAGCCTAATTTAGTGATTAAACCACGACTGTTGTAGATTGGCGGGCGTGTAGCCATTGAAACAATAGTTAGGCACCAGAACTGTGAACATAAGGAACCCTGTGTTCCAAGTGACAGAGTATCATACACTGTTACTAGTGTTACAGTCATGTGGCTCAGTGCTTTCCAACCTGGGCAACATTGCCCCTAGTGGTGCGGTGTGGTAATTTTGGCGGGCGGTGGGGATCACCCGGGTAGTGACATGAGTTATTTAAAGCCCCGCTTGGAAATACCTAGATCTACATGTAGGTGGGTGGTACAAACATTTTAGCCTCTTGGTGGCAAACGTGGGCTCTGGGTACAAAAAGATGGAGGAGCACTGATGTAGTCTAACAAAATGTACAAAGTTTGACAGAGTATGAGGCCTGTCCCCTGATGTCTGACTTGTAACAACTCTCCCTTGAACGGCGTTTGTTTTCACGACGTTTTCGTCCAGACTCTCACCTCCATCCACCCTCCCTAGTTCAGCCCCTTCGTAGAGAGTACAAGTTCACAAAATAAGCCACAACTGACATGCAGTCCGCCAAGACGATGAGAGAAAACACGAGGAAAACGATAGCAATTCCGATGGTCGTGCCGGTGATCTGAGCCGAGGCGCGTGTGTCACTGGCACTCGTCTTCTTCCTCACACTGGCAGACAGCTGGCTCACGTTGACGCTCAGACGTTTCTGCGTGTCTTTTATGTTCTTCTGGACCTGTGGAGGAGGAGAGTCGATTGGGCTCTGAGTAGAAGACATTATCGTTAGAAGGGGTTACGTGAAAAAAACGAGGTAAGTCACAGGAATCCTACCACGACTTAGTGTATTTTTCACTTTTCAAAATTATAGACTTGGGTTTTTCTTAACTTCATTTGCTTTGATAGAAAACAGTTTATGGATAACAAAGTTGGTTTTTCACTAGATCTATTTCACGAGGGGTATTCTGCAGCTCTAAGTTTAGGACCAGGACCCTGGTTTATTTAAAGAATGGATTTGTCCAGTTTTCACTTAGCTCTTTCATTTTGTTTGTTTGTTTGTTTGTTTGTTTGGGTAAAAAGAAGTGGATCGGCAAATAATGGTCATTAAAATTTAGGGTATAGGGAAAAAGTTAGTCGGACAGCTAGACAGAAACAGAGAGACAGAGGAAGAGAAAAAGAGATGCAGTTACCAATGGCGCCCTCTAACCACCCGCAGTAAACAAAATAAAGCAAGTGCAGTTACTGGGAATATGATACTCCTCACTCCGAACTAGCTGAGGTTCGTTTAAAAAGTAACCTTCGTTTTCTTGAGTTCTAAGATAACTTACACACTTCGAATCAAGGAATCCAAATTTAAGATATACAAAAAATAGTTGTGCTTAAGTGTAGGACCTACAACATACAAGGACCCAATGCATGCAGTTTTCTAAGAGCTACAAGGCACCGAATTTTGCTGTAAATTAGGCAGTGAGACGGACGGACAGACGGGAGAACAAGCAGACATGTTTTTCACAGGGAATATTTTACACTGGCTCAGACCTAAGTGGTTGAGGAGAGACGTAAAAGAAAACACATTGAAGAAAGGAGTTTTACATATCCTGTCACACCCCCGCCTAAACCAACAATACAAAAAAAAGAGCTAAAACAACAATCAACAAACATTCTCCCCTTCCCCGGAAACAACCCGAATGAAGAATCAAATTATTAATAAAAAGCACACAATAACACGTCATTGCAATACGAGTTTAAATGCGGTAGTTCTCTCTAAGTTAAAAGAAGAAGAAGATCCAGAGGAAGAAGAAGATTCAGAAGATTTAGAAGAAGAAGATTTAGAAGATTTAGAAGAAGAAGATTTAGAAGATTTAGAAGAAGAAGATTTAGAAGATTTAGAAGATTTAGAAGATTCAGAAGATTCAGAAGATTCAGAAGATTCAGAAGAAGAAGAAGAAGAAGAAGAAGAAGAAGAAGAAGAAGAAGAAGAAGAAGAAAGGATTAGATCGAGTTTAAAAAGAAAAGGACATTCAAAATTTCAAAAACCAACTGCAGCAGTAAATCATACCGGAGACGTCGACTTCCAGAACGGCAAAGTCCAGCCTTGATCTAGTTGTTAGGTCAACTTCATACATGGACGTGGCATTCGTGTGGGGTGTGCGCTCATAAAGAACGTTTGGAGAATCTGAAACAATAATAATAACAACAACAATAATGATAACAACAATAATAACAACAATAATAATAATAA